CAAAGGTTTTGTTCTTGAGTTGCAAGATTTTGTTGGTGATGGGCACTAATATTGGTGGGGAAATTGTGGGTCTCAAGTGGTTGGTTGTTATGAGTAGAGTGAATTTGTCAGCCAAAAAAGAATACTTGCAGTTGCGGTTCTTCCACCAAAAGAACTGGAGAAGATGTGAACACAGACATAACAATCTGTATTAATTAGCCTTCACAATTGTGCACCAAGACAGTTACCAGGCACTCAGAAGTTGCTTTGATTTTGGTATTTCTCCACTAGTTTGCAGGCATCAGTCACAATACTGATATCATGGTATGTGATCTTAAATCTAAGTACACCATTTAAACTACATTCTATAGTGAAGTAATATTGCAAAATCAAATGTTTTTTCAAATTGAACAAGGGGGTTAAGAATTGTTGGCCATGATGTCCGAAACCCAAAAATATCAAAATCTTAAAAACAAATGTATTAGCACAATTATTTATTTGTGTCCATTACATATGTAGCATTAGTAAGTATCTTATTTTATACAATTTACAACACTCAGATGACAATGACATCTGTTAAAACCTACATATCAAATCACATGCTATCTGATTTGATGCAAGCCAGTCAGAAAAGGGAAAAAAACAGTATGACCAGCAGAAGCTGATAGTGTAATTGTTTTTAGAAATACTTGCAGAAAAGATTATTCAAACAGCACTAATCGTAATTTACTCTGGTTTTTACATCCATAAATGATCATGAAGGGGAAGAAAAATGACAGAGAATATATATGTGGTCCTTAACACCTAAAAGAAAAGTGATTATACATCAGGTTGAAGAGAGAAAGCAATGAAGCATAGCATTTTGTTTCTATGGATCAATCTCTCGAAAGCTCTGAAAATCCGTTTCTCGGTCTTCATCTTCACACAACCAAGTGAGGAGGTCTTCATGATCGAAGTGCACCATGCTTTCCCAGTCCCAGTTATCATCGTCCAAGCCCGAAGCCACGGAGGAGGAAGAACGTAACTCCCCAATAATTTTGTTGGCACACGTGTCGTCACCACTTTGAATATTCCGAACCACATCATTGCTACCAAAAAAGGCCAAAGCCCCACTTGGTTCCTTCCAGCAATTGTCCATCATGATATCATTAACAAGATGTACAGCTTCCTCACAAAGGTTTTGTTCTTGAGTTGCAAGATTTTGTTGGTGATGGGCACTAATATTGGTGGGGAAATTGTGGGTCTCAAGTGGTTGGTTGTATCTAAATAAAAAAAACCCAGGATTTGATTGTTAATTCCACCGTAAACAATATATATGTATATTTGACATCTAATATTTGTTTGATAAATAAAGTATTTTTTACACTTCTAATAAACACATATTTAAAAGATAAAATTATTTATCAATAATGTCACTCAATATTGATTTTGACATATAATTTTATAAGTTATTTTATTCATGTATTTAATTTCTCAATCTTATAACTTTTTTTTATTGTTCTCTTTTTTATTTCTCATCATATTACATCTATCATTTTTTATGTATTCCTTTTTTATACACAAAGGAGGGTAAAGTCTAAGGAAAACAAAAGTTACAAACGGTGATTATGGGTGAAAGACAATCTCATATTATTCTTCATAAGCAAATTAACTACTCCCAAATGAATTGAATCTAAAAATATGCAATTCAAGTTCCCAATGTAAAGCTCTAGCTAGAGGTAAGAAAATATGCAACATTCCCTCTCGAAGCACATGCGTAAGAGAAAGGTGTCAATCCCTCTTAATACAAAATCCAATGGCGGAGACCATGGTAAGATAGGGGCACTGAAGGATCTACATATAGTATAGTGGGGGCCCCACTATCATTTGATATATATATA